CAGGGGAGCACTGTGCTGGAGTGGCCAATGGCAAGAACCATCTTACCTGCAATAAGTCAAGAAGGACAAATAAAGGCAAGACAGATTGGGCTGCCTGCAGTTAGAGCCGAGGTGTTTGAGGATGGAGTCAGGAGCCAGAATTGAGGGCCTTAGGCACCAGGGTGTTGTACAAGGGCTTGTGTGCAAGCTTTAAATGTGAGTGTTGTTACAGAAACTTCTGCTATGCAGTCAGCATTGTCATTACAAAGAGAAACCTAATTTTTTTTTGCTAAGGAAGCTGCTGGGGTTTGATTGTTTTTAATATTGGTAGATGAGCACTCAGTGTAGTGGTAATGTACTCTGCAGTTTTCCATTCTCAGGGAGAAAAGCTGAATTGATACTGCAGACAACTTCACAGGGAGTTAATTTTGTACTTTAAATATTCTTACTGAAAGTAAACAAAAAAAACAGTGATTGATCACATGTGTGATCAGGAATTGATCAGCACTTTGTTGGATTAATGGATTAAACCTGGTAGTGTGCTACTTAGGCAACTGTGTCTTTTCTCAGCTAGCCAGGATAGTTTCTGTACAGGTAACCAATTTTTTTCCTGGTTTCCCTGGCTGGGTGGTCAGGCTGGTAAGGAGGTTGGCAACAGCTGCTGTTTGCAGCTCTGCAACCATGGATGTTTGAGAAATTCCAAGGTGGAATTTGAGCCTGAGGGAAAGCTTGTTTCTTTTGCTCCTAAACTTGTTGTCTAGAGAGCTGATTGGTAACAGATGCACCTATCTGCCTTTCTGTTTTTCTTGAAGCGTGTTGGTTTCAGCTACAGGATTTTTCCTGTGATCTCCCCAGGATATTTCTCCCTCTACTGTGTATGCTCCCAGTCAGGTCAGCACTCTGTGTGGAATAAAGAGGCTCTGAAAGTGTATTATCCTTTGTTTGACCTGTTTTTCCCCTTAATATGCATCAGTCCTTCAGCAGTTAGGGAAGCTGTGTTTTTCTAGCACTCTCTGTTAAAGAAGAGATTGTTAAATTTGCTTGGAAACAGGAAGGAGAAGGAATTTGGAAACTCCTGAGACTTCTTTCTCTGCAGGAAGGTCTGTGTCCTTCCAGGCAGCTTGATCTGGGTAAAGACATTGCTGCAGGGATGCAAAATTGCTGAGGATTGCATATGAGTCCTATGAAAGGGGGAACTGATATAGAGGATCTTAATGCATGAGCACTGGAACAGTGTAGTCAATATAAAGCTTAGTACAAGCAGTAGTGGTTATGACCACCAGAATGTCCCCAGCAGTGACAAAGGCCCACCAGGTACACACTGTTGCAGGTTCCCAACCATGTCTTGGGAAGATCCAAGGGCATATCGTCATGCAGTGAAGATAAGCATGGGAACCTAAGAAAATTATGTGGAAGAATCAGAAAGGATCCACGAGGATAAAAAGGCCATTTTTCTATAGGTAAAATATATATTCTGAGGAAATCAGAAGTCTTCCCTTGTCTGGAAACCAAAAAAAAGCAAGACACCATTAAAAGCCTGTTCCTTTGTTATGCTAAGCTGCATAGGAAAAGTATGTTCCTTTGAAGAGAAAGAAGTCGAGTTCAAGCATTGCCACAAAAGAAAAAGCAAACCTTTTACAGTAAAATGCAGTAGGACATCCTTGAGCTTCTGTTCCCTTTCCTTACTGTACTAATTTTGACTCTTTGGGAGTGGGTCTCTAATGCCACCCCATTTCAAAGAATCTCTGGCTCTCCACACTGGTGCCTGCCCTGCCTTAACACTCTGCTCTCTGCTGGCTCTTCAGAGGTAGGGGTTTTGTTCAATTTCAAGTGTGTGGACTTGGGGAATTATGTTATTCAGGCAACACAAAAGCTTAGTTTTCACTTCAGTTTGGTGGTGGAAATATGGATAAATATGACATAAGTTAGCACTTTAATTGTGGTACAGTATGCACATTTTCATTACAGATTCCAGGAATAAATAAAAAGCAACTCAGTGCTGTGGCATTACTATGAAGGTCAACCAGCAAATCATTCTCTCTGCAATCTTCTCTCATCTGCTTTTCATTATGATATATTAATTAAAAGCAAATAGATTTATGATCAATTGTCTGTAGGTCATAGAAAAATAAATGGTAGTCCCTTCCAAGACCTGCTGTATCAGAGAAATAAGAGGTACAAAATATTCCTAAACAGGGTCTTTGGCTTCTAGAATTACATCCAGCTTTAATAGAAACTGCAGCTATTAATGGGCTCTCACGTAATACAACAGAATTACTTGAGCAGGATTGTTTATTTCCAATCCTACCAACAGCTCTGGGTGAGCCCAGTTTAGTCAGGTGTTAAATATGATTATCTGCAGTGGCTTTGGGTGGCTTAACATTTTATTTCCAACACCTAGATTCTTACAGTGCTGCAATATATGAGGCAACCTGAAGATAATGCAGCTATTGATTTTTTAAAAGGACACAAATGCATGAAAATACCAGTATAAGAAAAGAGAGAGTATGTATGATTATTGTCAGTATATAAGATACTGTAATAAATGTAACACAAAAGTAGCATTCCTGGTACAAGACTAAAGTGGCTAATTTTGCCATGTAATTGCAACTGATCATAGGGGGACTATACAAAGGTTGAAACCGTTCTGAAAACCTGCCCACACACAGCTTAGGTGTTGCATTGTATAAAAAATCAATAGACACAACAAATTCCTTATTCTCTGATTTCATGCTGATTTTCTGGAAGTCACAACTGGCTCCCCTACAGCACCTTAAGCCTGTAAATTGAGTGACAGACTACCTTCCTGTCAAACCCTACCTCCAATGGGACTCCTTTCAAGGAATGGCAAAGCTTGTGCATAAATTTGGTGCTCTGACATTGGGTTTGTTTAGCCTTCTGGGGCGTGTTGCTCCTTGTACTGATTTAACGCAGTCTGTGAGACTTTATGCAAACAGCTACCAGGTATTTATGTGTATCAGGGACACACCCTGGACCAGCTTCTGAGCGTTCCCGCATTTTCTGCATAAATGCCACTGAAGTAGGAGATAGGCATCTCGCTGGGATAATGTGAAGGCTCGGGGTCTGTGGTCCCTGGTACAGAACAGCCACACGTTGATCTACTTGAACTCTGGGCAGTGAGAAACACACGTCAAATTTGCCAGGAGCTGAGATCATCTGTTTTGAAATAAAGGGATATACCACTCCCTTATTTTCTATCAACAAGTGTGATGGTACAGAGTGGCCTTTACAAATCAAGAGAGTGCAGCAGTGATGGGAGCTGCTGTAGCCTACAAACTCAGAGTACCAAATGGTCCAGTTGTTTTGAGCTGCTGAGCAATTTGGAGTCACGTTCTGTCAAACCTTTTCTGACATAGTGTGCATGCCAAGTTTTATTTTTGTCTTTACTTTTAATTGGAAGTGCAATTTTTTTGCGTCAGGGATAGTTCATCTTCAGGGTCCTTATTATGGGTTTCTGATTCCTGAGCTGGGAAGACATGTACATTTTCCATCAAACTCTCCCTGACAGACTTCATGCAAAAAGATACCAGGGGAGAAACAGGGAAGGGTAGTGGTAATCTCATTAACTCCACCAGGATTAAGTGACTATTATGCCTGTCAGTGTGCAGACCCAGGATTTACCTCTACTCTGGGATACCCTTACACAGTGCACCATCATTATCAGAATCTCAGTTCCTGACACCTCTTTTTGTGTCTGTTAAAATGTTTTCATTTTAAATGTGTCTGTTAACCTGTCTGTTAAAATGTTTTCATTCCAGTAAATTGAATCTTGGCTAGAAAAATAGATAGATTCATGTCTTAAGACATAAGAAAGATCATATATTGTCTAAATTGCTTTAATGCTGTATCTAAATAATTCAAATAAAGAAATTAAGGTTCTTGCCTGCATATGCTGGGCTTGCTATTTTTTGTATTAGCAGGCTCTTTCTTTTTTGTATTCGTTATAGTGGAGCTTTCAGAATGACTTAAGCTTCAAATCTTCTGACTAAGAAAGATATCAGAGTTTGCTATTTTCATGCAGAAATTGCCCCACAGGATAAAATGATTGGATTTGGATTTGTTATAAGATTACAAAGAAGGAACCTCCTACCAGGATCAGCATGCTGCAAAATATTTGCATTCCCAAGATATGTAGAGTGCCTAGGTGGAGCTTTTATTAAGTTTGGAGTCCCTAACTCTTCTTCAGTAATGCTGCCTTTGGGAAGACTGTCACTCAGTTCTTACACCGTTAAGGATTTGGGTGTCTGATGGCCACAGTATGGAATTACTTGGCCACCATGGGGCCACAGGCATTGGCAAGTACTTGAATATGCACTACTTGTCTGCAAGTATTGGTTCTCCAGGTCTGCTGTGCGCTGTATAGCTTTACAACTCACCCCACTCAGCAGAAAGTTAAGTTCTGAGGAATTCATGATTCAGGTGAACTGAAAGGGAAGGGCAGACCCTTACAATGATATAGAAACACATAGAAGGCATGGTGCTAAACTGCACCTGAAGGTCACACTTCAAGCACTAATTCACCAGTTATAAAGCACATAACACACAATGCTGCTATAAAGCACACCCACAAAGTAAATGTACACGTAGAAGAATAGAGTAAGCAGCCTTACCATGTTAATGCAATCTTATGATTAGAAAAATATAATTTTACATGCTATGTATTTATGCATGTAGTAATGACTTCTGGGAGGTTTCTCGAGGCAGATTTTTTTAAATAAGGAGCATAATTTAGAAATATATTGAATAATAATTACAATGTTGGGACTGAAGGATTTTAACGTCAAGTTATCCACTTAATCTGCTGGTTTACTTGGTTTCAAGTTGTATCCTTTCAAGTGCCACAAAAAAAGCATTCAGGAGTCCTGGCTACAGCTGAAGCCATTAGCACTCCTCAGTGTGGCACACTCTATGCCATATAGCACAGGAACAATATGATAATTTACAGTCTGTCCCTCCCAGCTCTGCTGCAGTTCATTTGGCTCTGCTCAGCGTTTTTTTTTGGTGTTTTCTCCATTAAGCTAATAAAGGCCTCCTAGAACCACTTAAATACTGCACTACTTTACATTACAGTATGATTAGATAAAATTAAATTAAAATGGGCTTGTGAGAATGACAAAGAAAAGATGTAGATAAAGATCTAATCTTCTTTTGTGCTTATATATTGGCTCAGGATGCAGCACAACTTCCTGCTGTAGATTATGATAAAATAGCTATTGTATTAGAGATAAATTTATACAGATATCACATCAGTTAAAACAAACCCTTTAGAATGCTATAAATATGTTTGTACAAGGGGGTTTCCAGGTTAGCAGGATTTTCAAATCCATATAGCAAGAACAGTACAGTACACAAGGCTGTGTGCAATCGAAGTTTTAGCATGGTTCAGACCTGTTTCTACAGGTTTAGCCATCAACAGGGCAGCAGACTGCAGTTTCCATCCCAGAATTCCTGGAACAGATGAAGATACAATGTCTCACTATTTGTCACCATCCAGCAGCAGGTTACTGTACCCATACCTATTTTGTAGGTGCCCTTTGGACACTTCACTGAGGTCACTCACCAGCCTCACTGGCACCAAGGGACCCATTTGAGCACAGGCTGGCAGAACTGAGGGTGGAAGTGGCTTTTTGCAAAAGGTCATTGGTGAACAGCTGGCTGGGGAGTAGTAACGACTTTGAATGAAGCAACTATTTGCAAGCTTAATTCATGCTTATGGTCTAAAGGTATTGTCATAAGTCTGACAGATAAAAATAGTTTTAAGTCAATAAAAGAGAGACCACACAAAAAATGTGAGATAATGCAGTTAAAATTGCTTGAATTAAGTCCATATAGCTTCTGTATGTAGGAAATATGGGATTTGACCCGCTGAAAGCTCTGCAGTGGCCACAGCTCTGCTTCTTATATGAACAGTTTGACCTGGGAAATAAAATTCCTCAAGTTCTGTGGCTTTCCTCCATCTTTTATCCTTATTTTCAATATTGTTTCTCATATAGATGTGCAGAATTTCTTTGTTAGCTCCTTCCTCTGTGTAAGTACATTATGTGCCCTGCTGCCTGACCAATACAAGCTATAGTCTCTGCGCTACTGCTACATCAGTAACTGAGCAGATTTAGTCCTTGATTTTCAGTGTATCCAGAATTGGTATAGCCATTAGATTGCTTTTAGGCATTAAGTTCTTCTTAAACCTCTTTTTGACACTAGATGGCTTTTCCTAACATTTCAGTGACCTGATTTAGTCTTAATGAAATCTGAATTATTGACAGACAAAAACAAGTTCATTTTTAATGTCACTCAGTTCAGTTCATATCTCTGTCTTCATTCCATCAAAGTCAAATCAAGGTCAATTTGACGTCTGCCTTCCCCCCCAACTCCCTTCAATGAGTTCTGAGAGGGATAATGATGACACGTGGTATCAATATTTAAGTGATATAAAGGAAAAGAGATTACACACAAAAGAAAGCATGCAATTTTATCAGACTTTAGAACAGGTATCATGTTACCTGCACTGTGCCCAACCCAGTTCAGTAGTTTTTTTGTATCTGAATTTATGTCTGATACAGTCTAGGAATCTGGAAATGTTAAGAAAGAATGCACTTAATGTGAGGCAGAAAATCAACTCATACATACACAACCATATGATTCTTATCTGTGGATGTTCAGGTAGTAGGTCTTTCATATGCAGGAAGTCTGAAAGGCAGTGAAAATACTGCATTCAGTAGAGTTGTATGGTATGGACCTATGAATACTTTTTTTTTTTTTAATTTTATTTTTAAATGTCCCCTCTCCCCTTAGGCTCTGACAGCAAACTACAATTTTATATGTTTGGGAGATGATGCCTCGCTGCTGGAGCAGAAACACTGAACAAAGACATGTTATGCCTGTCTGCCAGGCTTTACTAATTAATGTATTAATCCAAACAATTCAAAACTAGTGTATTTTTTTCTGCTATGCTGCCACTAAATGGCTTTGGAGATCTCTCTTGAATGTTGTAAATGGTATGGAAGCTCCCAAGACTGATACTTTGCATATTAGTCAGACTTTTCATCCTCAAACCTTATTCATGAACTGCTGAGAATTGTCTCTGTGAGCCTCAGGAAACAGGGTTTAGGTGATATGCTGTTTGCCTACGTATCTTATCAGACACCCTTTAATAACTTTTGAACCCATAAGTTCATTTCAACTACATTTGATGCAGAAATAGAAAACTTCAGGTTATGAAGTTCCTCCAAGTTTCATGAAATGTAACCGCTCAGTAGAGGAAAGACTACTTCCTTCCGATTATTACTGTGACTGAAAGGCTGTTGCTGGAGCTCTAACATTATTTATGATGTTTAGTTTGCGGTAAGCCAGTACATACCTAACTCAAAAGCAACCACATCTCCTTGTTTCTCACCTGCCTGGTAGCTGGGAGGCAGGAGGAGGGAGCTGTGAACACTGGGGGAAATGAAGACTCATGATGGGCAGGGAGCTGGAGCTGTGGTCACTGGGAAAGGAGGAAGAATGGAAATCAGGGCTTAATTCCTGCCATCTCTTAAAAACACAACTTGTTCTCTACCTGGGAATGACTTGAGTCGAAAGTGACACATCAAAATTAAGCAGACTGAAATGAACTTACCACCCAAAGTACATTCTTAGTCTAACCAGCACACCAGCACAACAGTCACCATTTCAACAAACTTTCTTTATATTTGTTTATCTTCTTTTCCATAAGCATCCAGTTCATTACATACAGCGTTCAGGACTTCACTCCTGAGAACAATTTGGTAATCTGATTTTAGTCTACTGCTATTGTTTCTGTTGCCATTGATATCATAATTATTTCTTTTTCAAGCATGCTTGCTTCTAAACCAAGCATACTAAAGTTACAGCTCCTTGTGTTTTGTGTTATACACAGACTCCATCGCAAGTGATAGACTCAATAGGTTATATGAAGAAAGTTTTGTTTATGCTAGCAACTATCATTTTACAATAAAATAATAGCAATAAAATAATGGTTAATAATCAGAGTATCCAAAGTTACCAATTAGATTTGAGATAATCCATTAAGGATATCTAAATGTTATTACTCCTACTTTATGGACCCAAGAATTGAAACATATATGATGTAATTTTTCTGGTGGTAACAATAAGGTTTTCAACAGACTCAGGGGTAAACAATAATCCATACTGTCTTCTTGCTGGCACTAGTAGCTGGGGAAGAGAAAATGACGTGTGACTTCTTCTACTCAGTCCTAATAAAAAGGATTTGGTAGTTTCCACATACAGAGTAAAAGATGAGAGGCATGGCAATTAGCCTAGTAAGCTGCATCCCATCTCATTCTTACCTTAGGGCTTTCCTATAGGTGGTGGGTTGACCCTGGCCAACAGCTAAACACCCACCTAGATGCTCACTTACTGCCCCCAAAGTGGGATGTGGGAGAGACTCCAAAGGGCAAAAGCAAGAAAAATGCATGGGTTGAGACAAAGACAGTTTCCTGAGTCAAGAAAAGAAAAAAGAAAAAAAAAAAAAAGACAAATAAATTGTGGAAAGCCACTCACTCACCATCTCCTACCAGCAGACTGGTACCCAGCCAGTCTTCAAGCAATGGCAACTTTGCAAAAACTCCCCCCCGCCCCAATTTTATCACTGAGCATGATGTTATATAGCAAGCAGTATCTCACTGGTCAGATCATGTCAGCCTACTTGCTGCAGGGGCAGGATGAAAAACAGAGAAGGCCTTGATGCTGTACAAGCACTGCTCAGCAGTAGCTAAAACACTGGTGTGTTATCAACGTTGTTTAGGTCACAAATCTAAACCACAACACCATACAGGTTGCGATGAAGAAAATTAACCTCATCCCAACCAGACACAATATACTATCAGAGGCTACAGGGAACCAAGGGCACTTTATCCTTCAAAAAAACATTAACATGGCAGTTGAAAGTACTTCAGCTTAGAATTAAAACTAATTTAATAGTTTTGATTGCCTTAATTTTACTGTGTAAAATTGGAGTGAGGAAAAGACAGAAACTAGTGACAAGAAGTCTTACTCAGCAGCAAGGGCACTCATGTTCTGTAGTAAGAGCAGCTAGTGATTTTCTTTGTGTGCATCATCCCCATATTTCCCTTCCATCAACCATTGTTTCTGCACCTTCTGTGAGGCTAAAGTCACAGTCACCTTTTCCATGGTATTTTATCCAGCCAGAAGCACTGTAGGGGTTTGACAATAAAATTTTTGATGTCTGTGGTAAGGGTGTAAAGTATTTTTTGCTTCAACAGTCAGTGCTTCGTCTTTTCTATATAAGGCATTAGCACTAGGTATTTCTCTCAGGATAATCTCTTTTTTTTTCCAAGTTGTACTGGCAAGATCATAGCCTGAAGTATAAAAAGATTTTGGTCAGTTCTTTTTTTCAGGCTGAAATTTGGCTGACAGCACATTTTTTACTGGTCAATGGACATAGCTAGTAAAGCTAACCAATATTTTCAGTAATACTTGAATCCAGAAGTTTTCCTAAGGATGTAGAAATATTGTGCCTTACATTACATATAGAAAACCTGGTCCTCAAAGAAATAAAAACCATGTAGGACAATGGAACTCCTGTTCCTCCTCTCATTAAACCATCTGGCTTTCCTTTAAAATTCAGAGTTGCTCAACTTCTTCAGCGTTGTGAGCCAACAGCCAATGCCGTCATTTCCTATTTGGCTGTAAATACAGTTCTGGAATCTAGATAATGTAGGCTTTTGCCACTGAGGCAAGGATGGAGTTAGGAAATAATAAAATTAGGGTGGAAATAAGAAAACCAGAACTTCAGCAAAATATTGAGGCTCTTAGCCTCAATATTTTCCTAGGTTTTCTTGAATCTAATTCTGTCATAGTTTCACAAAGCACAAAATCATTCACAGGCAGGAGGCATTCAGCTCTTGGATCACTCATTTTTTCTGTTAACACATCCATCTCCTCAGATTCTAACAAATTGCGTTCTGGTGAATTCCTGATCTGGAAGTTTCCTCTGGTACACAATAGCCACAAATGACACAGTATTAATTAAATATGCTTTTTGGCTAAATTTTTTTTTAAATCATTTATCACCCCCCTCCAATAACTTATTTTCCCAGCTAAAAAATCCAAATGTATTTAGCCTCATCTTGTAGGATCATAAGAATGGCTGCAGTAGATGAACCAGAGGCCCATCTAGTACATGATGAGAGAGTATACAAAAAGGGCAAGGAGACAGCAATAATCTCTTCTGTGTGCCTTCCCAGCTTCCAGTAACATGAGTCCTTCAGAAGTGCTAAAACAGAGACAGTATTTTGTATTTAAAAGCTGCTAATGTATTTGTATCCCATCATTTTGCCATTTAATATTTTTGAGTTTTAGTTATCTGAATGTTACTAATCCTAATTATGGATTCTGAGATGAGGTGACTAGAACTGACAACAATATGCAAGCAGTGCACCACAGTTGTATGTAGTACTGTGGTTTATATTTCTTTCCTTATCCTTTTTCTAAAAAAGTTTACCTTTCTTGTACTATTAACCACCTCTGAGAACGGAACCTTTTTTCATACAACTGCTCACAGTGACTTCAAGAGTTTTAATGACTGACACTAGCTTTTAGAAGTCATCATCGTATCTGTGTGTTTTTCCTCCATGTTTATTACACTGCACTCTGGAACACTGCTTTTCAACTATCGCTACTCACACAGTGCTGTGGGAGCCTGTGTATTTCCAATCAGCTTTAGATCTGAATTATCAAACATGTTCTTCAAATGTTGTCACGTCATCATTTATTCCTTTTCCCAGTTCACTTACAAACTCAGTACAAATCCTTGTGGGATAATCCTTCTGTCACAAAACCTCACAGTTCACTTCTGTCTTTTGAGTTTTGTCTTTTAACTGATTAGTCCATGAAATGAGGCTTCTTATGTCATATAGAATAACAAACTCATAGAAAAATAGGGCTGGAAAGAAAACCAAGAAATCTAATTTCTAGCTACTCTCCTCATCATGGTAATGCTACCTTACCTACAAAACTTCTAAAATAGGTTTATCTAACCTTTTCTTAAAAATATCTAATTATTTCAGTTTTAGTCTAATGATTACACATTATCTCCAGACAATTTCATTATCTAACTGTCTTTATCACTCAAAGATTTTCTTATATATAAATTGCACTTGGTATAACTGAAGTTTGTTATTTCTTGTACAAAGACAATTTATTAAAGCACTTCTGAACGTTTGCTGCTGAGAACACTTGTAATAAGACATCACTATTTGGCTAGGAGCAACACTAAATTATAATAGTTCTCTATATATTAGATATGTTCTATAGACTTGTCATGAAATACTGTTTTATAGCCATAGCTTGTCTTTAGGATGAATTTTGCTGATAAAGTGATATAAAACTTATTATATCCAATGGAAAAAGTTGGAAGCCTAACAGTAGAACTTGATATGGTTTGGGTTATCTGTTTAGCACAGTTCGGTTTCTTCTGTGGGAATGGATTTAACTTCAGAAAGCTATCAGACAGTGCAGTTTTGATGTATCCTCCTTTATATTCCTCAAGCGAACTGTATCCTGGGCTGCATCAAGAGAATAATGACTGGCAGGCCAAGGGAGGTGATTCTCCCCCTCTACTCTGCTCTCTCCTCTGCAGTACTGCATTCTGTGGTTCCCAACACAAGAGGGGCGTGCAGCTGTTGGAGCGAGACCAGGGGATGGCCATGAAGATGCTCCAAAGGCTAGAGCACCTCTCCTGTGATGACAGGCTGAGAGAACTGGGCTTGTTCAGGCTGGAGAAGTCTCTGGACAGACCTTAGAGCAGCTGCCAGTGCCTAAAGGGACCTACAAGAAATTTGGAGAGAGACTTTCTACAAAGACATGGAGGGAGCAATGCATGGAGGGATAGGACAAGGGGCAATGGTTTTAAACTGAAAGAGGGTAGATTTAGATCAGATATTAGGAAGAAGTTCTTCACTATGAGGCTGGTGAGGCACTGGAATAGATTGCCCAGAGAACCTGTAGATGCTCCATCCCTGGAGGTGTTCAAGGCCAGGGTGGACAGGGCTTTGAGCAACCTGGTCTAGTGAAAGGTGTGCCTATCCATAGCAGTGGAGTTGGAACTAGATGATCTTTAAAGTCCGTTCCAACTCAAACCAGTCTAGGATTCTGTGAATCAAAGAAACATCTTTCCTTTTTCATTACATGCTACTGATTTTCTCATTTCATGGAAAAAGATTAGTGGATTCTACAGGCAAATTTAGAATTATTTTAGCCTCTGAAAGCCTTAACAACTAGCAAGGAAATAGAGCAGGTGGAACATGGTGGTGCTGGAATAAGAATGCCAACAATGCCGGTGGATTGAAAGCATGTGTATCATCAAAGCCAAGGAAGCTCAGTTACACCAACAGTGCAGCTTCAAAATATGCAAAGTTTGGCTGCTATATTCAGAATTAGAGTTTATGCTTTCTCCATAATGGGCAACAACTACATTTTTAGAAATCAAGGTTTTCTCTGCATCTCTGCTTTGGAGGTATTGGCTGGCACTCTAAACCAGCTGTCACGCTGATTCTCAAATGGGAATGCAATGGCTGTTGATAGTATCCTCTAGCTTTTTGGATTTTTTTTTTCTGACAAATTTAAACACTACACTGCATGCTATACGGCAAATGAAATAAGCTCATGCATCTTGCTTCACAATTTACAGGGAGTGATATGCTAAGATATACACGTGGTTATACATAGTTGGTCAGCGATCAGGTTGAATTGTAGTTGTGCAATGATAAACTGTGGCACACCATGCAATGCAGGATTATTTCACTTCTACTTTGCTGTGTCCTACTGTTTTTAGTGGCTGAATGCTGAATTCTGTTGGTTATATTATGTAACTGCTCAATCTGACCAGTCCATAAAGAGAAAGTAGGTAATAGCTTTTGTGATTTTGTGAGGGTTTTCTTTTTTCTCAGGAAAAATCATGAGGAAAAACAGTACAGCCTATTTTGAGATCAGGTTCTTGGATTACACTCAAGAAAAGCAGTACAAGGTTTCTATTTTAGTACTATTTGGATTATGGTGCTATAAAAATTAATTAAAAAACCAAACCAAAACCAAAGCTAGCCAAATAATTATATAATGAGAGCAGAAGTCAGAACTCCCATATTCTGTTCCTAGCATGAACTCTAGACTTACTGTAAAATCTTGGTAGCGCCTCTTAGTAATGTACTTTGTTTTCTAAACCTGTAAAATAATCTTAATAGTTTTATAATAAGTGTTTAGAAGTTAACTGACATAAAAGATTCCAAAATTCAGAGTTTTACTGGGAATGACAATGTATGAACTTGCAGCCAGTAGAAGACTTTCTAATCCACCCCTATGAGAAATTGTCTGGCATACTATCCTGCTTTTATTAGGCTATTCACATTCTTACATTAATATGTTTAAAAATTAGTATATTTATATATTAGTATATAAAAATTAGTATATTTCTACTTTTATTGGAATAGAACTGTATTTCTCTGCTTCTGTAAAGATGATAATACAGTTCATGTGAGACCCATATTTGTTCTGAATTTTCTCTACTCTTATTCCTCAGACTTCTGAGGTGTATTCTTTCACTCTTAAGTGAAGCAACATCAGCTTAAATGTGACTGATGTCAGTAAACACTGTTTGTGTATGTTTATTAATGTCCCACTAAAGATCTACTGAAAAAATGCTGTATTGATCCATAAGAGTCCCAAATTTCCCACTGGGTTAACAAGTAAAAGCTTACAGAGAGAGTAAGTTAAGAAAAGGTGCAAATACTTCCAGATGTGGCCTAGAAAAATTAAAAATAAAAAACCCAAAACCAAAACAGAACAAAACTCACACACATTTTTTGGTCTCACTAATATATGAAGAGAGAATGCAGTGACTTGACATTCAGAAGAAATGGTGATTTGAATGAGCAACAGCCCAGCATCTTCAGTTAGGCTGGCAGGCTGAAAAAAATCATGCTTGCAATCTGCAAGCCTGTCATTTTCTATTTTCTTTGGTGGGGCTACTCAGACATTCTACATCAGCACAATTAACAAATGATAGGGCATTAAGTATTAAAAACATCACAGTAATTTCCCTTCTGACTAGAATTGAATAATACAATAAAACACTTTATAAACCTCTGTGAATGCCATTAAATATGTATTACCAGTGTCATAACCATTCTACAAACATGGAAGAGCAATGGTAATGTCATGGTACTGTTCTGCCTCCTTCTCTCAGCCCATTTGCCACTACTCAGAGATTCATCTCTGCTCTGTAAATAGCTGCCTGCCACTGGTCCTCCTCTGGGACCCACCTGGAGAGGAGATGTCAGGAAGCTGTTCTCAAACAGGACTGACAGCATGTGCCTGTATAAACAGTTTTCTCCACCTTCATGAACTTGAAGTGGATTCCTGCTATGTGCTCCAACCTCAAGAGGAAACAAATGCGCCCATTTTCCATCTTTTAACCATGGATTGATAAAACTTCTGCATTATAAGAAGGCAGCCTCATTCTTACTGGCCTCTGAGATGACCTACACTTGGAGCTGCTTAGTTGATTCTACACTTTCAGTGGCTTTTATGTGGCAAATGTAAGGATTCAGAAACCAGAAGCAGGGCTTTGTCACAAGACAAGGAACCAGGGCACAGATCATGTTGTGTGTTTTCCACAACTAGCTTTGCATCAGTCCAGCTTCTGTTGGGGGGGCTCATGAAGGAAACGAGAAAAGCATGGTTTGTTTAGTCCAGCAAAAGAAAGGCTATGTGGGGATGAGATTGCTATCTATAAACACTTTTGGCAGGGGATACACACAGGAGAGCAAGAAAGGCTACTTCAGGACAGTATTTGAAGAGAAAGAAAAGATGGATGTGGACTGGTCACAGGAATTGTAGGTTTGAAATTTTAAAAAGTCTTCCAGCTGTTAGAGAGGTTTCTCTCAGACAGCCTCCTAGCAGCAGCAGCAAAGGCCAAAACTCTTACTCACAATGATCAGTTTGTGGAAGAAAGGATAAAAGGGGTGCTTACAACACTAGGGAGCTAGGTAGCATAGGGTAGAGGGAAATTAAGCTGTCTTGGCTTACAAATGCCAGCCTAGCTGGGCTTCCATAACCAGGGGTGCTGTTAACCCTCTCTCACCTGTGCTGTGGACATACAATAAATAACAGTGAAGAACAATCTTTTCATTAAATGTTGGAATTGTAAGAGTAGAAAATGAAAACCTTAGTAATGAAAATGGGCAGTAACAGCTATTTTTTTGGTCCAAGAGGGAAATGGGAACTACTTGAAGAGTTTATTATTACCAACTGCAAGGTAGTCCTTATTCCTAATGACTTTAAGACTGAATTAATATATATGGGTAGCATAACCTTCTACAGGTACATGCTTGCCCTTTTAAGTCTGGTCACCTAGTAGTCAAAGCCAACACTGAGAAGAAAGGGACACAAAGATGTAAACACTTTGCAAAATTTAAAGCTCTAACTTTAGCAAATGTCTTTAATGCTGACACTGAATGGTGTTCTCTCTCCTGTGCTCAGGAAATTTGCCAGATCATGATCAGGCCTTGTTCTGTACCTGCAACTGCAGAGAAAAGCACTTGTAGTTCTCTGGAAAATATTACTTTGGTAAAGGAGTGATTAAGTTTTCTGAGAATTTAGGTTGTTGTTTACCTGGCGCGAGGGAAATTCTGAATCATCTATTACTTTCTGGAGGAAATAATCACTTCAAAATGGTTACACTCCTTCTGCCTTCGCTGAGAAACAAATTTCTGGTTAGGACCTCACAGTTTAGCTATGCACTAGTAATCATATACAGTACCTTACCTCGTACTGCAGCTGACCCCTCCCTTTGCTTTATCAGCACTGACAGCTTCTCACCAGCTCGCCAGTCCCTCCCATACAGTGTCAGGCAGTGGGAGAACTTTCCATTGAGGTAACCAGTGCTGGCTGGGCAGGTGATGAACCGAGACGGTTTCTGTATATGGACAGCTTCTGGTTTTACACTTCTCTGATTTCATTCTGTTTCACTTACTTGCTGCTGTTATTAGCCAAGATTGAATACAGAAGGTGGGGATTATTACTTGCTTGCATGACAGGATATAACCTTGGTATTTTGTTAGTTCTGTGTGGTGCTTCCGTAATGCAAATACACGTGCAGAGAGTGTTGTTTTTCACCAAGAAAAACCTGAGACGACATAATTCCAAAATGCCTAAACATTTCCATCATCTCAAAATACTTAGCATGAAATCTGAACCTGAAAGTAGCATCATGTTTGGCTTAAAAACTCTTTGCACGGGGCTGAAGGGACATAGCTTTGCTGTACTGAAAGCCTCAGCAATAAGCCCGAGTTCGTATTTGGATGCAAACACTGCAATTTGCCCCTGCGATCCTCACTGTGAACTATTCAGCAGCTCCTGACTACATCCATCCGCCTTGCAAGGATCCGTGTTTCCAACATGGAACGGGAGTCGCATAAAGGTTACTGCCGCTTTCCGCTCCTCCTTCCCGTTTGGCTCCAAACGGCCGTGGGCCTGCAGTGCAGCCCCGCCGGACCGGCACACACGTGAGGCCGCCGCTCCGCTGAGGAGCCGTTTGCTTTGGGCGGGCCGTGGCTCGAGAGCTGCCGGCACTGGACGCGGCCCAACCGCCGCTTCCGCGCGCCACTTGTCACCAGTAGCAACCACCGCTCCCGAGGCCACGCCCCCACCCCTCAGCCGAGCAGTGGCTCTTCCCCAAAGCCGCAGCCCCACGGGGCGGAGCGAGCTTGACCAATCAGAGGGCAGTATCCAGCACGGGGGAGGGGCCGAGCCGTGAGTGGCAGCTCGCGAGATAAACAAGGTGCCGCACTATTCGGGGCCCCACAGCCCGGTGCGCGTTGCGAGGCCTAGCCGTGGCGGGCGCGCGGTCTCCGTCCTTCCCCGGTGAGAGACCAGCCGCGCTCATCGCTGCCGCCTCTGCCCTCAACGGGAAGAGTCAGCAAGTCCCCAAGGGCCGCTGAAACGCTGTCTCCGGGGAGCGCAGCGCGCCGACGCCGCCTAACCAGGGCGTCCCGGGGCATGCCGGGAGGTGTAGTTCTACCGCCACGGCATCCCGCCCTCCTCGCAGGGGCAGGCTCCCACAGCCGCACTACGACTCCCGGCATCCCGCGCGCAGCGCCGCGAGGAGCCCAGTTGAAGCGGGTGGCGGCCGAGCGCGCCCCCTCCCCCCGCCGAAAAGCCCCAAACCAAAACAAAAACAAACCGCCCCCCCTCCGCCCGCCCTCCAACCCCTCGCCCGCCCGCCGAGCCCCGGAAATGGCGGCGCCAGGAGGGGGCTCTGCCAGCCAGGGGTGCTGATCCGGCCGCCGTGTCCCCTGTCCGTCCCTCCCCGCCCATGGGTGAGACATGGACTACGAGTTCAAGTCGAAGCTGGCGGCCGAGCGCGAGCGGGTGGAGGACCTGTTCGAGTACGAAGGCTGCAAAGTGGGCAGAGGCACCTACGGGCACGTCTACAAGGCCCGTCGCAAGGACGGGTAAGGGCCGCGCCGAAAGCGGCCGGCGGGACCCCCCTTTCCTCCCGTAACCCCCCCCCCCCCCCAGCTCTCCTCTCGTCTGTGCCCTGTCCCCTTCCCCTCCGTGGAAAGTTTCTGGCAGCGCGCAGGGGCCGGAACGCGAGCCCGTCCAGGCAGCCCCCGCCCAGCTCCGGGTGCGGGCCGCCGATGCCTTGGCCCCGTGGTGGGGGGAGCGGCCCGCGGCTCTGCAGTGCGTGTGCGACCGCCGGCGGGTGCCCCCCGAGCCCTGGAGACGCGTGAGAGGGAAGCTGAGCTCGGTCGCCCCTGCCCCGCGGCTGCCGCACCGCCCCCAACCCGTGCCCTCCATCCCGCCCGTGACCGAGGCCGAGGTGGCGCGTCGCGTTCTGCACATTTCCCCCGCTCCCGACGCTGGCGTAGCAGGCAAGGGGTGCTGTGTCTGTAGGCTGTGCCGGTGGGATCTCCTTTGGTTTTCATATCAGGCTTCAGGTCATGGCTTTCGTCTTTTGTGTGATTGCGTTTGTGCTTTGACGTTTTGATCTGAGAACTTACAGGGCATTGAGAAACAAGCAAGTTTGATGCGAGGAGCACCTGGCTGCCCATCGCCTTTCCCTGGGTTCTCCTGTTCAGGCCAATGCACCCAAGTGGTCCAAGAAACCCCCGGGCGTGTGTTGGTCACCGATCCAGCCCCAGGTACTAGGCTGGACGGAGCCTGGCAGGCTTGGCTTGGTGACCTGTCTGGGAGGCTCCAACAGGCAGAGCTGGCAGCATCTGACAGTACCTACACAAGAGGTGTGTGGGAGGTGTGTCTCCATCGGAACCTGTTTCCCCTGTGAGAGCATGGCACTTGTCCGCATCCCCAGATACCTGGCTACTGGCTAGATCCTGAGGTTGTTTAGCCGTTAAGCCCATGTACGGTGGCTGAGCTACGCTTTCTTCTTTTCCTTTGGGAGAAGACAGCTAGCACCATGGGATAGGTGTCCCATGGATGCCTTTTTCTCTGTACTGTGGTTAAGAGAGCAAGGGAGAACTCAGATTGCAATTTGGGATTGCTTGGCCAGTACAGCTCTTGAAGAGGAGCAGTCCTGAGGCCTGCGTAAGGCTCTCGGGCAGGTGCAGGTTCCAGATACAATCCTTTTATTTCAGAAGGCCGTTAAGTATTTTTTCACTGTTGTATGTGGACAATGAACAAACACGGACTGTATTTATATAAGTGTCCAAAGCATACTTTAAAGTTTGATAAAATATGCTTGCAAATTGGAGGTATTACCTTTCTAACAGAAAGCTAAAGAGCAGAAGCCTTCTGTTGTAGGTGACTGAAAAAGAAAAGATCAACTATAGAAAAATGGCATTTTTTTCAGTAGAATTCTGAAAGTGGTTAATGACTGCTGCTGTTTTAGATTGAGAAGTCAGGGATTTTTCTGTAGGAGTAAATAGCATTCATGTGTGTCTTCAAAATTTAAACTTGAGTTAAGAGGATGTAGTATCAAAGTGATTAATAACTGAAAGGAAGCACACTAAGTCAGGTGGAGGATTAAATGCTGGAAAACGAGCTCTGATTCTGACTAGCTTGCTTTGCAACCTTAAAAATACTAGAGCATAGCTAACTTGAAAAGGGAATGTTAAATCTTTTGTGGGTATCAGAGCTGCCACTGAGGTCTTCTAATATTTGTGGGTTTAGTAGTCATGTCCTTTTTTTTAAAGTTTTCATTTATTTTTATTATCTGCCTATAAGAGAGGAAGTGGTAATAGAAACACCCAAAATACTGGCTAAATTTTTGTTTGTTTGTTTGTTTTTGCTGTTCCTTGATATGGTAATTCTAAAGTTACTGCTTTTAAGAACAGCATAGAAGAGGAAGAGCTTTGGGTTTACCATTTTATGGAAAAAAAAAATAAAGGAAGTTGTCAGTTTCTGACATACCTGTTTCATTTGCATCATTGGCAATGGAAAGCCGTTGCAAGAATTGCATTGATACTGCAGAGCACCATAAAGGACATGTCTTCAGAATCCTTACAATAATAGTAGTGTTATAAATGCAAATGGATGGATAATAAAGCAAAAGTAATCATGGTAAAAAGATAGCTAATCTGTCAGAGCTGGGAATAATCAAAGGGAGCCATAAGAAAACTGTCTGGTAAAGGAAGTGGAAAGTTTCAGTAGGCAGTATAGATTGAAATGTGATATGATATGGCACAAATGCAATTGTACTGTATACTCAAGAGTTTTTACTTCATGAAGCTTGGAAACTAGGTTATTCTCTCTTCATTTGGGTTTTCTTTTTATGGCACTGGTGAGTTTGCTCTCAGCTGCTTTTGTGTAACTTCAAGTGAAAGCAAGTTGTGAGCAAGTTAGATGAAAACTAGAAAGCAACCTAAATCCTTGAGATAAGGTGATTTTCTTATGAAAATATCCAGCTAAAATATCTCTGTGGGGTGGAGGATATTTAGTATTAGTTCTTCACTTTAAGGGGTCTTTAATGGCAGAGAGAAACTTTTTCTACTGCTGGCAACAGAAACCTAGTAATGCTGCATATTTATAGTGTGCTGATCACTGGGGGATTTTGAACCTCGTGTAAAGAAATTCTTCCTTGTCCGATCATAGAGTCTGTTTTAGTATTTCAGGTTTGCAAAGCATTCCTGTGTGAAAGAAAAAGATCCTGGCTACTTGCTTCTTATAGTCAATTTACAGTCTCAAGAGGGCTGAGGGCAATAAGAGCCTCGTAGCTCTGCAGAAATTCCACTGAGAGCCTGTCACTTTGTGTTTCAAAAACTTGGCATATAAATTTTATGAAATAGTAAAATGTGTTTATACAGAGCTTGGCAAGCTGCTCGGTAAAATGCTTGTAAAAAAAAAAAGTGGTTGCATTGCTTAGATCTCCGTGAATGGCTTGGGCATAAAAGCAGTTTTTCAACAAAGTAACAGCTGAGTTTGGCTTTTTCAGCCTTCAGTAGAATATCACTTGAGCATGTTTCTAGTGAGCTGATTGATTTCTATGACAGTTTAAGATTATTATTCTGTTTTTTCATAGGCAGATTTGAACAATGTTGGTGTGACATTTGCGTGCACTGCATGAGCATATTTTTAAAGATATTGAGTACCTGCAGCTTCCATTTACTTCAGTAGTATTTGTATGGTCTGATAAGGTCTAGAGGTATTACCTAAATTAGGCACCTGGGTTTGCAAAAGTTTTCATTAATATCTCTGTAGTCCAGAAAGACAAAAAAAAAACCAAACCAAAAACCCACCAAAACTTATTTTGGTGTACACAGAAGCTGGACCAGAGGCTTTTAGCAGGGGAAATACTAAGCCTCGTGATTCCAGTTGAGTAGTCAGTGTGAAGTTTCCAGCTTTTTATGCAGCTGAAAATCTTTTAGAATTTGTGTGTGTGTGCTGTCTCAAAACATCATGTTGGCTTTCGCTAACTTTTTTTGACACTTGTTCACATTCGTCCAGTAAAAAAAGAATGCTTTTTTTCCAGTCACAGTTAGGAAAATGTTACTTTTGACCTCTCATGAAGCTCCTTGCCACTTCTTTGATCACAGTTTAAGTCACAATGTTGTGCTTAGTTGTTTCATTTCCTGTATCTCCTTATCATATGAGAGGCAATTTTTAGGATGAAGTAAGTGTTGGAAATTCTATTTGTTTGATTTGTTTGGTTATTTCCATTTACTTTTTGGGAAAGATCAGTCTGTCAGTCCAGGCCACTACAGAGTATTTCTGTTCCTTGACCAGGATGTCAGCTCACCTGCAGGAGGTTTGGATGAGTCAGCAAGCTGAAAAGATACTGCTGTTGGCTAGTCAGGAGTGTGCAA